CTGCCGAGTGAAGGACCCTGGGGACATAAGCCTGAGAAAGAGCATGGCGCTGCATGGAGCGCTGCAGGGAGGAAAGCCCGGAAAGCCCCGAAGAAGGGTCTGGACTGCAGTTCTCTTACCTCAGATCCATTTGTTTCCATTACAGGGAAACGTGTTCCTCAGCCTCAGTCACCTTGGCCATTGGAGCTGCTAATATCCAAGAAAGCCTCCCCAGGCACAGTCCCTGTCTCCTTTGGTCTGTCAAGAAACACCCCAAATCTTGCACTTCCACTCTTGGCTCAGAAATCCCAAGGTGGAAATCTAGTCAAGGAAAACAACAATAATCGCCCCTCCATACAGTGGGGCTGTGAACCCTAGAACTGAGGCAGAAGGTGACTCATCCTGGCATTGTTTATATAGTGAAAACTTGGAAACAACCGAGGTGTCTGATAGTGGGGTGGTGGACATTACGCCACCAAGAATGTAACAACCTGGGAAATGCCCGCATCAGAGGTTAAGTGGAAAAGGCCGGTTACAAACTGGTGCCGAGTTCCGACACACAGACTGCCTAGAACCACACCCCAGAAGGACATCAACAGCCTTCTCTGGGTGGTGGGACTTGGGGTGAGTTTTCCGACTCTTTCTTTAACTTAGCAGGTGCTCTGCAGTGAACATTATGAGCTTTACAATCAGAGAGAAAATGCTCCCCTAGGTCTCCCACTTTTCTCCACGGCTCTTTCTTGGGAAATTCACAGGACACCTGCTTTGTTCAGCCTGCCCACACCCACCTCCAGGCCTCAGCTGCACCCTCCGCCTGCAGGGAGCAGCCCCCTGCAGAAGCTGCAGGAAGCCTTTCCTGATCACCAGCACAAACAAACCATGTCCCCAGCCTGCCCCAACATAGCCCCCCGCACCTCTCCTTGCTCCTGTGTCCAAGCAAATACCTGCCTCTTTGCTGGGGCTGGGCCCTGTCTGCTTCTGTACCTGGTCTCTGAGTCTGAACTTGCAGGAGGAGGCTGAAGTGTTGAGGCCACGTCTCATCATCGTTGGACACTGAGGATGATGGAGATGACTTTTTGGTCTGCACATCCTGATTCACCACAGGAAAGACTTCTGACCATTTAAGAACCACGTGAACAATCTTCCATGGCTTAAGAAGCCATCAAAGGTGTTTACACTTATCCTGGACCAGCAGTCTTTCTGATTTTGGGACTGTCAGCAAAAGAGTCTCTGCAAAAGAGTTCAATGCAGATAAACTTCCTATTTTCGTGTTGCCCTGTTTTACTTGGCCACTGGCCCGGAAGATACCAGCACTCCAGGTACTGGACACCCCCTTACTAGTTTCTCACAAACATGTATCCAGTACAGTAGTTTGTAGAAATGAACAAACAAGGCCTCTGGCCTTGAGCTGGGCTTCACAGAGATGTCTACATTTTTAAGACAAGTTACAAAGTGGGCTCCATGGTAACAGCTGGCAGGGGGAGGAAAGAAAGGGGGGAAGAAGCTCTCCCCTTCTCAGGTGTTGTCCTTGAAGAGTTAACTTGCTCAGAACAGGGAAAGAAAAAGCTGCTTTTATGTGAACTTCTGCAGCCTGTGAACCTCTGAGCCCCTCCCCTTACATGCTGGGTATAAAACTCTGAAACTGCCTAAAGTCAGGGTTCAGGGGATTGATTGATTACAGCAAAAGCTATGCCCTCTGAGCCTGGCTGCAGCCACATAAAACTGTTTCCTGCTGTCTTCAGTGCCTTGCCTCGTCTGTCCCTACAACACCGGGAACAAGTGTGAACAAACACAGCAAATGTACCTCAAATATAATTCGAATTTTCATGAGTCAATTTGGCATCATATTAGGGAAAACTTTTGTGGAAAAGTTAGCAGTTCAGCAAGCCTGTGAGGACCTCCCGTGTGTTCAACACGTAGGTCTCAGAGCACTTGGGAAATACCATGGCTTGATCAAAGCAATAAACAAACCCAGAGTGATTTTTTTTTTTTCAGAACTTCCTGGTCACCTTTACACCCACATGAAGTATGACATGGTAGACTTGGAGGATAAGACAGCCTGTTTGTGGTTCCCTCAGGAAAGGAGCACACAGCCTGCACCATCATGCTTGCAGAGGCTTGAGCTAACTCCCCTGGCCCCTGTGCGAAATGCAATGCAGCCCAGGAGCCCTGCAAATCAAACACCCTGCCACCAACCTTGGGTGTTTTTGAAACTGAGAAAGGCAGATATGGTGCGTCAGCCTTCCTCATGACTCTGGTATCCACCTGTCCTCTTAAATAAGGTAAACAAACCACAGACATAGTTTTCTTCCCGCAGAACTGCACCCTTTCTCAAGATCAGGTCTGGGTGCTGTTTGGCGATCGGAATCAAGTAGAAGGAGGCGGAGGCATTCCTACATTCCAGCCTCCTTTCAAGTACGGAAAGCAGAAGAGTGAGTAGGCAAGAGATGCTCGGCTGGCCAGCTCTTTTCCATTCCTGCCACCCAACGCAGGCCTTGCTCGAATTTCCTCAGGCCACAGCCCATCTTATCAAGGCTGAGCTTCTGAGAGCCCCACAGGAGCCTCTGAGGAAGGTGAATGAGTGTCTGTCCTGCCCCTTAGAGGTGTGCGTGCTCCTGGAGGGGGCATGTAAACCGAGGGCTAGGTGGACAGCTGAGGTCAGCAGGGAGGAGAGAGGAGTTCAGGGACAGAGAGAGGAGCCTAGTGCGGAGTTCTGTGTGCTGTCTCTGGTTCTCCGTGGACCGTCCTCCCAGCTCCCAGGAGCCCTTCAGTGAAGCTTTCTTTGGTTGGTGTGTGCAAAGCTGGATTAGCTGGCTTATCCAACCAGTGCTATTGGTGCCCACGTGACACAGGCAGTGCTTCTGAGGCCAGGATAAATCAGGGAATAGAACGTCCCACTGCATAACAACCAGGGTGACTGCACACCATTGATGACTCTCCAAGATACTCTGCTCTGTGAGGAAAGCCAATCCTGGAGGGTTAAGGCTGCACAAGTCCATTTATATCACACTTCCAAAATGACAGCATTTTACAAATGTTAGTTGCCAGGGGTTAGGGATGGGGGTGGGGGCTAGCGGGAGGCAGGTGTGGTGATGAGGAAGCACCTCGAGGGACCCTTGTGCTGATGGACTATTCAGTGGCTTGAATGGTGAATTCAGGAACCTACCAATTTTATGCAGGCAATAAAATTGTCTAGGACTAAACCACACACAAATAAGTTCAAGAGGGAGAACCTAAATAAGATTTGTGGGTGGTGTCAATGCCAATGGCCTGGTTATGACGTACTCTAGAGTTTTGCAAAATGTTACCTCTGGGGAAAAGTGGGTAAAGTTGGCCTTGGAGGAAACTATACTAGTTCTTAGAATTGAACCAACATGTATTTATCTCAATAAAAATTGCAATTTAAAAAACATAACTGCAGGGCATGGTGACACATGCCTGTAATCCCAGAAACTTGGGAGGCTGAGACAGGAGGATCCCAAGTTCAAGAACCGCCTCAGGGGACTGAGGTTGTGGCTCAGTGGTAGAGTAGAGCGCTTACCTAGCATGCATGAGGCACTTGGTTCGATCCTCGGCACAACATTAAAAAAAAAAATAAAAAGATATGTGTCCATCTAAAAATCTTAAAAATAAATAAATAAATATTTTTTAAAAATCTGCCTCAGTAACTTAGCAAGTCTCTAAGCAACTTGGTGAAACCCTGTCTCAAAATAAAAAATAAAGATGACTAGGGTGGTAACTAAGTGGTGTAGTGCCCCTGAGTTAAATCCCCAGTACAAATAATAATAATAACAATAATAACTCTGAGGCTGAATGGAGACTACAGTTTGGAAGCCAAATATTGTTTCATGGTGATTGTTGGGAAGAAGTCACAGTCATCCTGGACAAGTACCCTCCTGGGGTAGTTCATGCCCTGCACCAGAGTATTCCCACCCTTGAGGCACATTACTGAATCTCCATGGAAGACTGAATGGGATTTGGATTCAGCACAAGAGTGTGAGCCCCCTGCTGTCCTGATCCCATGCTGGAGGCGCCCACTGGCATAAGGGTGGGACTCCAATGCACACGGGGCTTCCAGTAGCTGTTTAGAGTCCCTCTGGGCTTGCTCCCAACTTCCTGCATTCCCATTGCCACCTTGCATGGGGACCCTGGCCTCCTGCCACTCTGCCCCACACACCTGGTCTATCCTGGCAGCACATGCAGCTTGGAGAACCTCAGACACGGGCGACTCCCTGCTCTGGTTTTCAGACACAACAGATGCTCTTCACGCCAGCACTGGCCTTGGTCCTTCCTCCTGGATTCTAGTCCCTCTGCCATGGTTCATCAGGTCATTGTCCAGCAGGCAGACCATTGTCCTGGAGGTGGGGTCCCACTGACCTGTTAGTCCCATCGATTGTACCATGAGGCATCTTGGTGGCTCTGAACCACAAGTTCTACAATTTTGATTTATTACCTTAGAAGAACTTCAGAGGAAGAAGCCATGTAAAAATAAAACAAGGTCTGAGCAGACTTTGAAGTCTTTATTCTTTTTATATCATACCACATCGCACAGGGAATGCCCACATAGCAGTGTGCCTTCCGGGCCACGACACTTATCACGGGGTGTGGCTGGGAAAGCCAGAACTCCTTGCCCATAGTTCAGTCCATTAGGAGAGAAGGAGGTGGGGGGGGGGGGGCAATGACACGTACTTATCTCTCTTCTCCACCGTGTTTGTGGTTTCTCGTTGTAAGAATGATGACAATGCAATGTGATTTAAAACAATTTCTGATTCAAGGTCTTCATTTAAAAAAAAAAAAAAGGAAAGGGGCTTCCTTAACAGTGCTAGAGCAACCAATGCGCATTTGACTCTCAACAAGGCTTCTCCAGACAAAATCCAAGTGCAGACACTGACAGGCTCCTTCTCCATTTTGTCACAGTGTCCACAGAAAGAACAAGTGCAGAGTGAGACGCAGGCCCCGTTCCCCCAGAAAGGCAGCAGGCCGGGCCCACGTCCTGCTGCAGAGCTGTCCCACCAGCGCCGTCAGGCCTGTGATGCTGCCTGGCAGTCTGCAGCCTCCTCCTCCTGGGTCTCTGCTGGGGCCTGGCTCCTGGTGCCCCCGTCCGTGCCAGGGATGAATAACCCGTGGAGGTCCAGGTGCATCTCCACGGCAACTGAGGCGCGAGCCAGTTCCGTAAAATTTTTGGCATCCAGAATAAGCAGAAAAGGCGCCTTTTGAGGATCAGTAGAAACAATGGCAGATAAGATAATTCCTTTGGGAAAAACAAAAAGAAACAGTGCTTGCTTTCTTTGACTTCAGGTGCTGGGGCTAGAGCCCAGGGTCACACACGTGCTAGGGGAGCACTCTACCACTGAGCTGCGCCCAGCCCTAAAAAAGAGATACTTTAAAAAAGTGCAGCCTTGAACATCCTCTGGCTGGAGGACTGATTTCTCAACCATCTCTCCCTGTTCTCTTTAAACTTACTTATCTAATCCAAATAGGAGGAAAGAGATTTTGATATTCTATGTGAGCAGAAGAGAAGCCTGGGAACCAGAAATCAGAAGAACTGATTCTAGCACTGGCTGGATCAGTCCCTTTACCTCTCTGAACCTCAGTCTCTTCATCTATACAGTAAGGATAACCCTCCCTAGTCTCACAGGGTTGTTGAGAGGATCCCTTGCAGGGTGGGATATGAAAGCGCTTTGTAAATTGTTGCAAGTACTTAGGAATGGCTATTTTCCTACTGCTTAAAAATTCAGATGACACAGAGTCCACTCCAGGGATGCACTTTGGCTACTATGTGTTACTCAGCTAAACTTGGACTTGTCACAAACCATTGGTGTTCGAACAAGTCCAGTTCATCTTTTGTGCATGCAGCCAACTGTAGTCTCAGCTTTCCCTCTGTAGAATGGAAACACCCCAAGGCTTACTCAGCAGCCACTCTCAAGGGATAGACAGAGGCTAATGAGTCCACACACTTTCAGGGGAAGTGAGAGCCCCCCCCCCCCCCCCCCCCCGCCACCAGGCTCCCAGGATGTAGAGCAGTTGAACACAGGCGAAGTCAGATTGGCCTGTATTCAGATCCTAGATCTGTACATAGGGTGCGTGTGACCTTGGGCAAGTTATCTCACTCCCTGAGCCTTCCTTGGTAGAATGAAGACAGTGACTCTCTTCCTAGGGACCAAGAGAACACACAGGAACCAAGTGCCCGGCTGAGTGGAAGCCAGCCTCAGCTGGAGTTGATGCCAACAGTCCTCCACCTGGGAGATGACAGTGACATGGAGTTTTGGCTGGCGTGCCACGCCACAATCAGTAGGAAGACAAGGCCAGACAGAAAGTCACTCCCTCCGCACCTGAGGGAAGAAGCTGGCAGGCTCCTGGGGCCGCCTGCCCTCCCCTGCAGGTGTGGGCAGCCCCATTACGCCTTGCCAGCTGGTGACCCCACCCTTCTCCTCAGCATCCCCTGGCTGTGGGCAGGGCGTTTCTGAGGCAAGGGCAGAGTGGAAGGAGAGGATGCTTTGGTCATATGGAAACCTAGAAAAGGGAGATGGGCCGCAAACATACACTTTCTATGTGCTCTGTGAAAAAGTCACATGTTTGTAGTTAGAAATTTGGATCCAACCATTGCAATGAATTCCACACCCTGGGAGAATTCAGTGTCACTTGGTAGGAAGGACATGGGCTTTGTTTATTATGGACTTTAACCTTGCCAAAGAGAGAACTAGCCTTTGTCCTTGGGAGGTCCCCTCTAAGTCCTTGGAATATCCTAACAGTTGGTTCACCTGGGGGCCTTGGACCCTCCAGGGAGTCTATCCTCACAGTGTGGTTTATGGTGGACCTTGGACCATGTGCTCTCAGTTTAACCTCTGAGGGCTGACGACTAAAGTTTGGCCACATAAGTGGCCCAGTTAAGACTCTGGACACCAAGGCTCAGCTGAGCTCCCACAGGTGGCAGTACCTGTGTGTACTGTCAAGTAAGGTCACTGGGAGAAGTCAGCGCTGAGACTACAAGGGGAGAAGATAAGCGCAACCTCCCCGCCGGGCCGCTCCTGCACCCAGTCCTGCGGGTCTCTTTGCTTTGCTGATTTTAACCTGTGTCTTCTGACTGCAGTGAAACCCCAACCAATAAGAACAGCAGCCTCCCGTGAGTTCTGCCCAGCATGCACAAGACCACCCTGAACAGGTGGTCTGGAGGGCCCTGAACTTACAATTGGTGTCAGAAGCAAGAGGGTCTTGGGCTCAGACAGAGCTCAGAGCAGACCTCCCCTAGCTGTGTGACCTGGAGGACAAGATGCCTCTAGACAACGTCTCTGTTTCAGGGGTGATTGCTGCAGCATGCAGCGGTCAGTCTTACCATCATCCTCGTCCTTGGCACCTGGAGCAGGCACAAACAGGGGTTCTGCAGGCCAGCAACATTCCTCGCCCCATTTTAAGGTCGACTTGGTAAGAATGTCATATTTTAGAATCTGTACATCCAAAGAGGGGAACATGTAAGTTACCTGTTCAAGGACATGCTGATTTCCTGAGAACAGGTAGGTACGGAGGCCCACGGGGGGAGATTAAGCCCTCACATCTAGATTTTTTCATCACCTCCAAATGACATCTGCCTCTGGTCAGCATAGCAACGAAAAGGAAAGAACTGAAATTCCTCCTCTGGCTTCAAACTCAGGTCCCCCAGCTACAACGTGGCCAACAGTGACAAGGAATTCTCAGAAAACTCCTGAATTGATCTGGTATTTGGTACTACATTGCAATTTTATATGTTAAATAAACTAATATGTTCAATGCCAAAACGAGAATATAACGTGATTCTTTCTTGCTTTAAAGATGAAAGACCCTGGGCAGAGGGATAGCTCAGTGGTACAGCGCTTTCCCAGCATGCACAAGATCCTGGGTTCAATGCAGCATCGTGCAAAAAAAGAAAAAAGTCCCTGGGCCTCTCTTAAGTTCTCATAGGCCTACTCCCTTTAGGGTGTAGGATTAGAGGGGAGTGGCTTAGGGTGTCTGCATGTGTGTTTGGGAACTTTAATTTTTGGCTTTGTATATTTCTACCCTGTTTGCATTATTTTACAACACAAAATTATTAATAATGAAGATGTCAAAGAAAAGTGAAACCTGTGTATCACTTTGTACAGTGCCCAAACATAATAAGATTGACAAACACTAATTTAAAAAACAAAACAAATCCTCCAAATTCTAGTCACACCCTCTCTGCTCTAGAGGGTGAGCTAGTTCCTGAGGGCTAGGGACACCCCTGCTGACTTCCTTGTCCTCAGTGCCTACCACATGGCAGCACATAGTTGGTGCTCGATAAATACATGTGGACTCAAGTCACTGCCTGAGCTCCAACCAGGGCTTCTTGAGCTGCAGCCCACAAGGTATGGCTCTCTCTCTTGGATGGTTCATCATTACTTTGGATTTATCTTCCCGAACTGACCTCCTTTCCTGATCAACATCCATTCAAGGTCTCCAAAACCTTGAATTCAGCTTTGCAGACAGATGAGATCATTCTAGAAAACCACTCTGCAGCCACACAGGGGTCAGTACCTTGGTTGGGATTGGGCTCCACTGAACCTCAGCAGCAAAGACATAGCGGTATTGCTTTCCGTTGTGAGCATAATTGATCCGAGGGAGCTCTAAGCCTGGAGAGAAAGGAGGCAACAGTAAGCCCCTGTCACTTGGGTGGGGAACATCCACCCTTCCTTCCAGGCTGGGCCTCCTTTCCACAGAAAATGTTCCCAAGCAGGATTCCCAACCTTGATTCAGACTCCAGATTGGATCAAAGGCAGCCAAATGCAGGGGAGGGAATCTCTGATAATGACCCTGGCTCTATTAGAAGTTTCAGGAGTAAGGTATCATAGACCAGGGTTTAAGTGTGTAAGCATCTTTAATTATCCAAGATAGAAATCAAAGAGAATTGCATGATTAAAATCAGAAGCTACTGCAAATTTTTAAAGCTCTTTTTCAAAAAGTACTTGTGCGTACATAGGGGCTGGGGTTGTGGCTCAAAGTGCTTGCCTAGCATGTGTGAGACACTGGGTTTGATTCTCAGCACCACATATAAATAAATAAAGGTCCATCAACAACTAATAAAAAATGTTTTTAAAAAGTACTTGTGTGTATGTGTGCACACACACATGTGGGGATGTGAAGATAAATTTTGGAAGCACAGTAAGAAGTTTCAATGGGCAATACAAAAATATCTGATGAATTCTATTATAATAATATGTAAAAATGATGTTTACAGAATATTTTAATAACATGGGCAAGTATTCATATCACAAAATTAAAGGCTGGTTATAGAATCATCTTAAAAATGTTACAAATGAAGAGAAAAAGTTTAAAAGTACTGCTGGGGTTAGAGCTGTCTTGAAATTTATACTTTATATTGTAGATTCATTATGTGAAAATTTCATTATGTCTATTGCTTTAATAATCAAAAAAATTCCATGCAGATGTGCATATCTTTAGGTATTCCCATGGGTCAAGCTGAATTTCTAAGTCTGAATGCTGAAGGGAAAGTATTCTCTTGTGACATACTCCAGGTGTTGAAGCCAACTGCTGGTGAGGAGGTAAGGTCCAGGAATAGGGGCTGCCAAGGTGACACTCTCACCCCCTGAAGGCCTCCTGAAAGGAGCCAAGGCCTTCATGGCTCCTGCAGGCTCAGCAGGGACTAAGGACAATGGACCACTGGGATGGGAAGGAGATATCCGTCTAACCCCCAGATGAGCAACTGTGACACTTCCAAGGGACAGGCCAAGGTGAGCATGAGAAGGATGGCCGCTCACATACTTAATAAGCTGCCCACGGCTGGCCCCAAAGCAGGCCTGCGTCTAAGATTTACATCTTCATTTCTTAATGTTCCAAGAAGCAAAAATCCCTCACAGAGCAGGTTCAAGGGTCTGCAGAAGGCCATTTACAGAAGCAGATTCTTAGGCAGCCAGGCAAATTCAAGTTTTGCCAAGAGAGTCCCCAGACACTGAGCCTGATACCCCCTCCCCCGCCCCCAGATACAGGCAAGGAGGGCGCCTGTTACCTTCATAAAGCGCTTCTGGCTGGCAGTAGACTTGGTCATCTTTCTCCTTCAGGGCCGTTGCTGTCGTAGATGCCACCTTGATTAAATTTGAGCCTACTTCGGCATTCTGAAAAGAATCATTTTTCAAAACAAAACAGGATGACGTTTTATTCAGAGCAAATCTTTCCCTCACTGGGTACACTTTAAAAATGCTTTAGCATAAATCGACCGGCTTGGTCTCACATTAACTGTAGGAAGCAGGTATTTTATTGTTGTGATACTATTCTCAATTTAAAAATGAGGATTAGCAGCTTGAAGTGGCTCCTCCAAGGTCACTCAGCCAGTAGGTGGTAGAACCAGGCACTGAAACCTAGGGCTCTTTTCTCCCACTCTGGGCTGCTTTATCCCTCCCAGGGAAAATTAATATGCTTATAAGAGTAAATTCTCACTTTATAAATACTGGATGATTCACCTGTAAAAGAGTGCATCAGTCATTAAAAGGTGTTTATAAAGATCATACAATAATATGAGAAATGCTTATGTTACAGCACCAGGTGAAAGTTCTGGACTAACTTGCATATGGAGCCTGAGTTCAACCATTTACACAAAATTACTGTAAAGAGACTGGGAGAGAAACCAAATATTGACAATTCAGTGAGTGGTGGGTTATGGGGACCTTCCTTTCTTTCTCTGTGCTTCTCTGGATTGTCAGTACTTTGACCTGTGAAAATGTATCATTGTTGAAATGAAAACAAATGTGATATAATTATTTGGGAGAAAAACAACTTTCAAGGCCATTCCTTACTCTTGGGTTATGATCAGACTGCTCTGTTCAGTAACTTTCTGTCACCATTAACCCAGGAGAAGGACTTAACATGAATAAATACTTATTGAACACCTAATGTTCCCTGTTTGCCCCACTTCCTAACCATGGGGTCTTAAGCAGGTTAGTTAGCTTCTCCACAATTCTGCTTCCTTGTGCATAGTGAGGATAATAATAGTTTTGAGTTATTGTGAAGATTAAATGAGATCATCCTCACAAATGGTCTTCAAGAATGCCTGATTAACTTAAGAGCTAGATAAATGCTAACTGTTTTGTTGATGATGACATCTTTGTTGTGATAGTTGTCCCCAGGGAATACAAGCCCCCCAGTGGGTGCTTACTGCAGATAGTACTGAGTTCTATGTATAGTATAGTTGATCTGATAACTGGGGCAGATATGAAAGCATTAACAGGCAGGTAGTATATACAGTATGGATACACAGGTGACTCATGTCCTGGATAGGACACAGCAGGAGGGCTTAAAGTTTTATAATGCTGAGAACAGCATGCAATTTAAAACTTATGAATTGTATATTTGGGAGTTTTCATTTCATATTTTTAGATCACAATTGATCATAGGTAACTGAAACTATATAAAGCAAAACCATAGGTAGTGGGGCACCACAATATGATTATTATTATTACCATTACAATAACAATTCCTACCACTACTCCTGGGGGTGAGTACAGATTAGGCACTGGAAGACTGAGAAATAAAATCACAGATCCTTATTTTGGCTGACTTCTCATTGAAACTTTTCTCCATGTACCAATTTTCCAAAATCACTTTTTATAATGAGAACCAACCTACTTTTTGCTGGGAAGGAGGAAAAGTTCACTGCATCCTGGTAGTTGGACTGCAGGAGTGCTGAGAGAGCTGTCTAGATTAACCTGTCAATCTACAGAAGAGGAAAAAGGGGAATTGTCCAATGCCACACAGGCAGAAGCAGAACTTGGGCCCAGGCTTTTGCACTGTGATTCTTCTTCTTGGAAGCAAGAGCATTGTAACAGTGGGCAAAGCAAGAGCAAAGGTCCTGAGACTGGCCAGTACTCATCCAGCAAGTCTCAGCTCAAATGTCCCCTAATAACTCAGTCTGAATCTGAATCTTCAGTGTCTCTGAGACATTTGTTCTAAGCAGTGGTTTCTCTATTATGGAGCTGTTTCTTTTTCTTTAATTTTTTTTGTTGTTGTTTTTAGATATACATGATGGTAGGATGTATTTTGACATATTATACATAGCTGTTTCCTTCTTACACTTGTCTTCTCCATAAAGGTAAGGACCAGACTTTGCCTACTGCATGGCACACAGTCAGTGCACAGGAAGTAATTGCTGGAAGGAGTAAATGCATAACTCAAGCTTTTCCTTCAATTATCAAGCAGTGAAACACTTGCTTCCCAGGCTGGCTGTAAGAATTCAGTGAGATAAACAGCATGAACAGAGTAGCCCAGTGCCTGGCACACTGGCAATAAACAGAAACTCTAAGCGCCTCCCTCACCTATGCGCACCGGGAGCCAGTAGGAGGCCTGCCTGGTGCCTTGCTGGACACGTGACAGCCACAGGCCCCTGGGCATGTCCCAGCCTTGATTCTCAGGGAGTCGGTCTACAGAGACATCTTATAACTCCAGCCTGAAACTGGTCAGACTGGTTGAGGAATAAACTGAATTTTTCCACACACAGCAATAACGAACATGACTCGGCTGCTTTCGGCTGCAATATGCTCAGCTTTGGAAAGAAATCACTTTCCAGCCAGAGTTCAACAAAATCCTGGGGGCCTACTTTAAAGTCCCTCAATTTGAGGGAACTCCCAGGAGAATCAGTCATCTCAGGAATCCCCCACATACCAGTTTCAGTGTGAAATCTCACTTTACAACCTTCTATGTGAATTTGAGCCCAACCTCAACCTCGCTGGGCCTGCTTCCTCCTCTGTCAGAAGGGCTGTTGAGAGTAGGCAGAGTTGCTTCCTCCTGCCTCTGAGGATCATGTTTAGCATGGAATCATAGCTGTTGAAACCTCTGGTCCAGCGTCAGACACATTGTAGTTAGTGACCTGGAGCCAGACAGACAAGCATTCAGATCCCAACACAAATCCCATGGCTGATTCATCGATTTTGGGCAAGCTATTTTCACTCTCATCTGTAGACACAGGGAGAAGCCACAACTACTAGGGTGTGATGTGTATTAGCACAGCACTTCACAATTCCTAAAGTGTGCAAGACCCAGAGCGAGAGAATGAGCAGAGGATCACAGACCCTAACCATCAAGCAAATTGAGCAAAATATCCTCTCTCTCCTACCTGGACACATGGACCTTAACATTGTGGAACTAACTGCTGTGTCCAGGGCAGCAACCACCAGCCAAATGTGGCTATTTAAATCAAATTTTAAAAACACTGAAGTAGGAGCTGAGTAGGATTCTCAGTGGTAGAGCACTTGCCTAGCACGTGTGAGGCTCTGGGTTCGATCCTCAGCACCACATACAAATAATAAAGGTATTGTGTCCATCTGCAACTAAAAAAAATTTAAAAAAATAGTGAAGTAAAATTAAACATTCTGATGTGCTCTGTCAAGTGCTCCACAGAACTCATGGTCAGTAGCCCCGTTACAGGGCAGGGAGAATGTTCCGGCTGTGATGCAGGTACCAGTGCACGGTGCTGCTTTGGAAGGAGCTTGACTTTAGGAATCTAGGGCCCCTTGCAGCTCTGAGCTGGATGAGATGGAACAGAGACAGCCAGGCCTGGCTCTGCCCTAACTGCCTGGATGCCCTGGCCAGCCCTGCCACCTTGTGGGCCCAGGTGGGTACCCCAATGGCACAGTCCACTCTTAGGGGGACAGGGGCAGGTACTGAAGCAGGTTTAGGATTCCAGGCATCCAGAGCCTGGTTGGGGTAAGGGTGGGGAGATGTCCTTCTTGGTGGGTACAACCCCTTGTGCTCTGTGAATACCTCACTCACCCTGTGGAGAAGGGGCCCTGCTAGAGACAGAAGGACAGAACATGGCCCCCTTTGCCAGGGTCTAAGAGCACAAAGGGCATTTAATAGGCCTCAAGTGCAGCACGCTCCCAACGCATAGCTTCTCTTACATCTGTCTTCATTTTTGCATTTGGAGATAAAACCCAAGTCTCCTGGTCTAGGAGTAGAAGCTGCTACTTCTGGGTCCAAAGTGCCTCCTCCAATGACTGCCTCTTGTGTGTGGATGATAAATGCTCTGAACCCACCTCCTGGAGCACACAATGCCCTTTAGGACAAGGGCAGGGCTGCGGCCCCTGTTGTCTGTACATGCCCATGGCCCTCCCTGCCACTCCTCCTCTCTGCCGAGCCCTGCCCTAGACACCTGATGCCCTACATAGACAGGCTGGGGGGTGGGGATGGGTGATGCCCAGAGGCCCTAATGGCCCCACCTTCTTTTGACCTTAGCTGGCTCAAGTGCAAGAGATCCAGGGCAGTAGGGTGGTCCTGGGCCTCTAAGTACAGTGCCCTGTCGCCCATTCCATGTGGAAATCATTTTTCATTTGGAGACCTTGGTTCACATTTTCATTCACTCACTCCTCATTCATTCCTTCCCGATACTGAAGAGTGAGTACCCTCTCAGCTTGGGGACACGGTCAACAAGCCAGAGTCCTTGCCCTCTTGGAGCCTGTGCTTCAGTGGGAAGAGGGGACTGAGCAAGTTCCTCATGCTGGAGGTAAATGTGGAGCTCTGGGGCCGGGGGTGTGCCTGCACCTGAGGGCGGAGATGACCTGAGGCCTGAAGGATGGGGAATCCACCAGGCCTAGAGTTTCTGTCTCCTGGCTGCACATTGGAATCCCTGGGTGCTGAGCCCAGCCAGGCCTGGGTCCCCTGGAGGTTCTGCTGTAGTGGTGTGGGCGTGGGCTGGTCAAGCTTTGCAGCAGATTCCAACATGCAGCCAGGGAGAAGGGACAGATCAGTGTGGCAGGCAGAGGGAACAATAATGGACCAAAGTCCCAGAGCAGAAGGACATCTGAGAGAGGACTGCACTCCTAGGGTCACCTCTCTGATAAGACTCTGGACAGGGTGGGGCCAGAGCTGCCGGATGTGCGCATGTGTGGCTATGTCCACCTGCTTCACTCTCCCATTTCCATATGCAGCAGCGGAGAGACTTGAAAGTAGAGAATACATTTTTAAAGGACAATAAATAGCAATTAAACAGCGTGACCAGAGCTACCCATCCCAGGGCTTGCTCTTCTTTGCTAATTTCAAAGCACCAGATGGCTACACAGTGTCTTTTATAAACATCCTGTTTCCCTTCTAAGCATGGTCCTGGGGAAGGGAACCATTTCCAGGACATGATAAAAGGTTATAAAACCCTCGGTGTGGGCAGCAGGAGGAAGCGCACTCCTCTTCCTGCATCATCATCCTGGGCTGAGAGTGGCCTTGTGAGTCACCCCTGTGTGGTTTGTGACACCCCCATTCTTCCTGGAAGTGGGAGACAGGCTGTGGAGCTGCACTGCGGCATCTCCCAGCTATGGGCTGTGACCGATGGGTCAATAGCCCTGAGCGCGCAGGGAGGGAGGGAGGCAATACTTTTCTGACGGGTCCCTCAGAGTCTCAGGTGCCACAATGCCTGCAACCTCTTCTTTCTCGTTTAAATGTGGCACTGGTGATAGAACGCAGGGCCTCTGAGCTGCGCCCCCAGCCCCTCCAGCCCCTCCAGCTTCTTTTCAGGAGGTCAGACCTTGGTGAGCAGCAGTCCCCCTGCGGTTCAGACCTCTGCTTCACATCTTTGTCTTAGTGCCAGCCTTTGGCTCTGTGTCGTTAGGGATGCTTCCCTTCCACACCAGTTAAGAGTTGGGTAAAACAAACAATTTCATAAATTGTTAAATAGGGGCGCTATCAGACATGGTGAAACCATGGCAGAGGTACACAAATGACCACAGGTGGGGCAAAGCCAGAGTGGCGGGCAAGACCCCCTGCTCTGAAGACTGAGTAACCCTGGCGCGGCTCCTGGCTCCCTGCTCGCTGTGTGGGAGTAGGCTGAACCCCTGCCCCGTGGAGCCTGCAGTGAGGCCGGGAAGGCGCCCCTGGTACTGGAGGAATGAATGTTCCTAGGCCTGCAGAGCCCTAAGAGGGGTCGGGGTGACTGTCCAGGGCTCCTTCCAGGAGTGAGCTCTGCTATGGAGAACAGCAGTCACTACCACCTCGCAGCCGCAAATGTGGTTTGGAGATAGGCAGGAGCAGGCTCTGATCTTAGGTGGGCTTTTGGGACCTTGGGCACTTTCCTTCAACTAAGAGCCTCTGCTTTTTCATCTGTAAGATGAGGCTGCTGGGGACTTCTCCCATGGGTCGCCCTCATCATTAACTGATGTAAGGGAAATAGAGTGCTTAGCAAAGTACCTGGCACCTGGTGTGCATTTAGTAAATGTGAGCCATCAAAATGTAATTGGATTTGGCTTCATTTACATTCACTAAGTCATGAAGACAGTGAGTGCTGGAGCCAGAAGCCGTGCTGTCGCCTCCTTGCGCCCAGAGCCACCGCAGTGCCACCCTAATGGAGGATGACTACTGGAGTCAGAATAGGACTGTTGGACAGCCAGTGGTAATGAACCCTGGGCAGAGACTATTAGGTAAAAATTTAAAATGATGCTGTCAAGGGATATTTAATGTCAGGGAGAGATGTTTAGATATATTAATAAGTGAAGAAAGGAGCATGTGAATTAGTATTCACAGATTCAGCCATAAGAGGGAACAAGTGTCCAGATGCCACAGTGTGGAAAGACTTTGAAAGCATGCTACCTGGGAGAAGCCAGTCAGAGAGGCTGCTCGCCTTGTGGTTCCATTGACATGAAAAGTCAGGAAGGCAAGTCCTTTGAGATGGACAGTAGGCTAGTGGCTGCCTGGGACTGGGGGGAGGGGAGGGGCACCAGGAGGTGATGGCTAAGGTGTGTGGGATTTCTTTTCTGGGGTGATGAAGATGTTCTAGAATGGATAATGATGATGACTGCACAACTCCATGACTATATCAAAGAAGAATGAACAGAACACTTTAAATGGGCCAATTTTGTGATATGTGAATTAAATCTCAATGAAGCTGTTAGAGTTATGTATAATCTGATTAAAATTGAGAGAGATATGTACATGTGCATCTTATGTTTGCACGTGTGTGTGTGTAGGGGGGGCAGACAGTACAAATATGTCCATAATGATCAAAACAAGGAAAGCATCATTTTTCTTAACAGTTCATTTTGAATTTCAATGTCAATCAAATAAGTGCCAAAGTAACTTCCTACTGGGCTTGGGTCTCTCTAGGAAGAAACAGCTGCTCCCCAGCACCATACCTTGTCCACATGGAGGGGCACAGCAAACCTCCGGAGGGTGGGGACCGAGGTGAGCCTGCAGTTCTCTTCGAAGTCCTTGTTGAGGTTGGCCAGGTAGAAGAGCTGGTAGAGGCTGTTGTCCTCATAGGCGATGACATCAAACAGGATGCAGTCACCTTCCTCGTAGGCGTTGACATGGTGAAACACCACCATGGCATCTGTGTAAAACTTGGTGGGCACAGGCTTTCTGGTCCTCTGGTCAATGATGTGAATGTAAGTCTGGAAGAAAATGCCCACCTGGTGGTCAGCTCTCCCTCTGAAGCCTGGCATGGTGGAGTCCGGGGACTGACAACACCTGGCCCTACCCGGCACTAGCTCATGATCTGGAGCATTCCCCCTCCTGAGCTCTGCGTCTTCTCAGAAGTACCCGATAGGTAGAAGCACTCAATGGGCAGAGCTGACCCTTGTTGGTTTCTGTGGCCCCATCTTCAAGATGGAAGGAGGGATGCCCTGCTGCCAGGGCCTCTGGGCAATGTCTGGGGAGGCTCCCGAGGGTGCACTGCCCCGCATTCCACAGACGAACTCCAGGGGACAGTGACCGCATTGGGGAGGACCTGCCAGGTGTCAGGCTCCATCAGAAGCTGTAGTCCCTAAGATCCCAAGTCCCCCGTCCTATGGGTCCCCTCTCCTGGCTGGTACCGCAGGGCCCACTTCCCACCTTTGCCTGTTCCCCAGGAGGTGCTTGTCACAGCAACCCCACCTGTCCTGGGGGCTGCAGTGAAGCGGACCCAGTGCCAGCTCCAGCCTAGGAGCTGCACCCGCTCACAGGTGCTCAGGGACACCTCCCTGGGCGCTACTGGCTGGCCGCACTCTGGGTGGTAATCAGCCATATCTGTTGCCGTTTGCCTAATCCAACGGGGTGTGAGTTTTCTTCTTTTGGCAGGTCTGGGCTAACCACCTCCTCCTGAGAAGAAGGGAGGCTCACTCTGGTCCTTCTTTCTTTCCCCAGAACCCAGCTTCAGGTGTTAGGAGGGCTGCAAGGGAGGTAGGCTCTGATTGAGGTGGTAGTGGGCTGAGTAGGGGAGGTGAGGATAGTGGTGATGATTTTAGGCTTTCTCTCTCTCATGACTGCAATTCCTGAGCCAACCACTGGGATCTTGCAGGAAATTCTCTTTTAAAGTTGGGCGTGGTGGCACATATCTATAATCCAGGCTACTAGGGAGGTTGAGGCAAGAGGAACACAAGTTTGAGGCCAGCCTCAACCCTGTCTCAAAATTAAACAAAAAGGTCTGGGGATGTAGCTCAGCTTAGTGGCACAGCACCCCTAGTTTCAATTCTCAGTGTTGTAAAAAAGGAAAAAAGAAAATTCTCTTCTGAACTCATTCCAGAGCTTTCCCCAGGGCTGTCTGCTCTGACATGTGATTTCTGACATGTGGAATCTCCCTGAGACTTTCTGAGGGCCAGGGACTCCTGAGAGGTTCAGGTTAGAGACATAGAGGACTCCCAAGCTCCTGTTGGCAGGAGCTCCCAGGGGCTCCCCAGGAGACTGCTATAGGACACGCACAGCTTCAATGGAATTCTGGTCCTTCTTGTTTAAGCTGCAAATATTTGTGGAGGGGCTACTAGGCATCAGGGGCTTCTTCAGGAACTAGAGAGACACAATAATCCCAAACTCCTTTCCCAGAGCTCCCATGCTAGTGGGGTGAAGCCCGCAATAAATACCAAATCTACAACATGTCAAGGTGATGGGCACTCCTGAAATAAAGATAGCAGGGTGGAGGTGGAGAAAGCCCCAGGCAGGGTCTACTCAGATGGGCTCAGAGAGGAAGGCCCAGAGATCAGGGGTGTTTAGCCACCACCTGGGTCAAGGGCAGGGGGCAGCCAGGTGCAGGTGGGGGAGCAGCCCATTTCATGAGAAGAAGACGATGCAAAGGCCCTGAAACAGGAACGTGTCTGGCTGGTTCAAGAGCCTGGAGAGTCAGGAGGACACCAGGACAAAGCAGGGAGTGAGGGCTTGGGATGGGGGTGTGTGGGGATTCCAGGATCTTATTCCAAGGAAGATGGAAAATCACTAGAAGGTTCTGAGCAGAGGCGGGACCTTAGCTACAACTTTACTCCCACAAGAACCTCAGAGCTGAGAAGGGAGAGGACAGGCCCTAAGGAGGGGCCAGCCACAGTATTTGTATGTACATGTAAAACTGTTTGCTACTGGGACAGGAGGCTGGGAGGGAGGGGACTGAACATGTGGCTCTAAAGTCATGTATTAGTTGACTAAATAACACCAAGAATTACTTGATATTTTTCAAAAGCAAAGTAATAACCGAAAATAAACACAAACACATACGTGCACACATAACCACACAGACACACCTGCTGGAGCACTCAGGCACACCTGGACTACAGATGTTTCTCCTGAAGCACACTGGGGAGCCCTCCATCACTGCGAGCACCTGCCGTCCTCCCAGCAACACAAGGTGAAGGCAGGGATGCCAGAGGAGCCGTGTTCTTGGATGATGGAGGCTGTGAGGGGCCCAACTATCCCTCAGGATGAGCTCTTGGTCCCTTTGCAGCTGGGCATGTGGGGACTGGGTTGGTGGCCTTGGTTGCGTGAGGTCAGTCTGTCTCCAGTGACTTACTGAAGTGGGGGGTAGAAGGCCCAGGCCTCTTGCCCTCATTCAGGGCTACTCTAAAGGACCGTCGGCTTCAGAACTCTGGAAGGTTGAGGCTCCTCCTGGAGTCTGCAAGGTAGCTGCTCTCCTCCCTCCCTCCACGCAGTCGCCTTCCCCGACCCTCCTGCCAGTCAGGCTCCCTCCCAGTCTGCCCCTCTGGCAGGCAGCGACATCCCAGCCAGGCCTCACCTTGTCCTCCCTGTGGAAGGCCATGCAGGAAGCCCAGCTGACTCCCCGCATGTATGCCGTTGCCATCTTGAGAATGTCCAGCCTGAACGGCTGCTCCAGAAACACGATGTAGTTCTCGCTGATTCCAAAGCTGTGGTAATAGCTGGGGGAGAGGAGCGAACGGGAGGGGATGGAGCAGAACACCTCCGTGTGCCTCAGAGGGCTCTTCCCCTTCCTCTTGGCCTCTGCAGGAAAGCAAACCTGGAATCACACAGGAACCAGCCCAGGACAGGACCACCACACAACTGTCACCCACAGACTGATGGTTGCTAAGGAGACCAGGCGTAGGGCCTGAGAGCATCCCACTCAGGCCCCCCATGACGATGGGCTCAGGTTCTCGGGCATGAAAACCTCTGGTCCACCAAGGGAGGCCTCGAGGCCAGGACTTGGCATCACAGCCAGGGGCTCACCCGAGCCTCGCCTGCTTTGGCACAGTCTCATCTGGACTGTGGTCCCACTCCCTCGGCCCCACTCCCCCACGCCTTTGTGCATTGTCTGTGACTGCCTTTGCTTTCAGCTACAGTGGCCCGCGCCTTAAATATTTACTACTTGGCCCCTTTACAGAAAAAGTCAGCTGCTGCAGAGCAGTGCTTTTCAAACTTTAGCGCTCATGTGAATCATCTGGGGATGGTGATAAAATGTGGAGTTTAACTCAGCGTGCGGGCTGGGGCCCGAGTCTGCGTTTCCATCAGGCTCCCAAGAGACGGGGGCTTTCTGGGCTGAAGCTCTGGTATTTTTCTGGGTGCCATCATTTGGCATGTATTTCCTAAGGCTTCCACAACTTTCTCCTGCACTGCCCATTACAAGACCCTGGGAAGGGACCGACTTGTGATGAGGGACTTTTACGTATACTGTGACAATCAAGCCAGGCTGTCGGATGCCCACTGCAAAGCTGAGAGACTGAGACTTGGTGACATTGCTTACCACTGTGGTCAGAGCCACAGGGTTCAGCAGGAAAACATGGCCCCTTAGCCTTGGCTTCCTTCTCCACCATCAGATCGCATAGCCCCAGTGAAGGTAGAGACCAGGATGAGACAACACAGTGGTGGGGGACAAGCTGACCTCTTGTCCTGACTGGGGTTCCGGTGCCTCACCTGGCGCACCTGACACCAGAGGTGATCAGTGTTTGGTTTTCTTATTCCTCTGAAAGGATGAGTCACCTCTGGTCAAAAGGCCTCCCCACCCAGGCCCCAGGCCGGTTTATAATGAGTTACCTGCAAAGGTCCCCACCTCTCTGAGGCCACCTGTGCACACTGTGAACAGCTGGCCGGGGAGGATGTTGTGGGGCTGTGGGATGGTTCTTTTCTTCACAAAACAAATGAAGCACAATGCAAACTGAGATGACAAGCTCCTGGCCCAGGCGGCACAGATGGGGACGACTCCCCAGGCCAGTCCCAGCTTGGAGCAGAGGGTGGCTGCTCTTGTGGTATCTGTGCTCCTGTAAGCTGCAGGCCCCAGGGTGTCACCAGATCCCCGAGCCTCACTGTCCTCCTGGGTAATATGAGGTGGCAATAGATGCCTAGATACCCCCGACTCTGGCAGTCTAGGATTCTGACTGGACCTTATAGTCCTTGAATGACATAATTAATGAGATTTTTGCTTAAAGAATACTCATTAATTCTTTAATTCTCAAGAATACTCAAGAATACCTTCTGACCCGAGGGAATCACATCTCCCAGCACAGCCTGGCAATTCTCTCAGAAGTTTCTACAGGACGGTGGGGGCAGGGACCATCAGGATCACAGATGTAAACCAGTTTCCTAAACCAGAAGGTCAGGTCAAGCACCCTCAGAGTCCCGCACTGCCTCGAGTCCTGCGTGGCAGCCCTCATAAGGCCCAGTCTCCTGGGTGTGGTTCCTAGGAGGGTCCTGGACAAACACAGGCTAGAAACCTCACCCTCTTCCCCCTCAGGAACATGCAATTCCCGTTGGCCTGGGCTTTGCTCCAGAATCCCAGCCCTAAGTGGAGAAGGTCCAGAAGGCCCAGAGAATAGGGTGGGGATTTGGAGTAAATCCCAGCAGAGCTGAGCTCCCTGAATAATCCTGGGAGCCTGGCTGCTGAGCTGGGGGTGAACCCTGGCCATGCGAAGATTGTCAAAAGACTTAAAACATGGATGGATGGATGGATGGATGGATGGATGGATGGACGGACCGAGGGATGGATGAATAAACTAATAAAATAGTGGAGCTTAGAGAAAAGGTTGAAATAGGATAAATGAGTGGATGGGTGGTGGGTGGATGGATAAAATGATGAATTGATGAAGGAGGTTAGAATAGTGAGGGGATTCCCTTCTTCCAAAAAGAATTCCAGAAACTACTCTTTTCTTTTAAAGGAGGAATCTGAGTTTATGGTCATCTGAATGCCTACTTGATGGGGAAAGTATCACCAAGTGCTGGGTTGTAAACAAAACCCCAGCATTCCTCAGCAGGAGCTGCCCTTGGCCAGGTGGGCTTCATTACGTGCCCCAGAAGGACCTACCTGGCACTGTGGCAGGGATCTTAAATATCACATATTTTGTCTTCCCCTTGTCCACAATGGATGTGCCCATGTTGAGAACATCTCCAGCCCCATCATAATGAGGATGTGACGTTGCCAGGTTTATAGCCACATATTTACGATAATCAACCTGCAAAATAAGACAGCCTCAAGGTTTTTAAAGGGGAGAGGTTGAAATTTCTTGAACACCCGACTGATTCTATGTCCAGAGAGATGAGGGGGATTTTTGCACATCTCCAGATTGGAAAATAAGAGAATTACCTGAGTGGGTGTGGACCCTTGGATCTGATGTAACCCTGTGTTGGGAGGGGCTCCTACTGCAAAGGGGTAGAGGAGAGTTGGTGAGCCTGTGTGACTTCTGTGGCTGTGATTCCCCCCTGCAGCCTGTCCCCGCCAGGGCCCTCAGCATGCAGACAGGCTGTCTCACTGCGGGAGGCTTGAGCAAAGACTTTGGCAGAGAGACTGCAGCCTTCCAGCTAATCCTGGCCACTGCTCTGTTAACTCATTTAGATTCACCCCTTTTGCCTTCCACAGAACACAGGGCTCCTGGCCTGTCTCGCGCCATTGTTCTGGGGATAGAGAGGGCACAAAGCCCTTTAGTCAAAGTGAAGCTCCACTCACAGGCTGAACAACAACCCCTGCTCTGCACAGGCCACAGCTGAAGAACCATGAGGTGGCCAGGACCAACTGTCCACCCTTCCTCCCCAAGAGCAGCGCACCCTCCAGCCCAGAGTCAGGAGGGCTCCGTCCTTTCCCGTTATTTCCTCTCTTGTGGAAAGCAGGCATCAGTTGGACCCCCGCCACCTAGCTTAAAAGGAGCGGGACATAATTTCCCAGCTAAGAAAAGCACTCCCTTTAACAGATTGTTAAAACGCCTTGTGAAGACACCGGGGCTTTGAACGGCCAGCTGAGGAAAATCAAAACGGGGTCTATTGATTTTCACAAAAATGTTGGATTGATTCTGCCCAGGAAAGGCATCTGCTAGGACATTTATTTTTATGCCCTTGCTCTTTGCCCAAGGCCTCCCTCTGCAGGTCAATATGGGTAGGGCTGCCAGGAATCCTGGCACTCCAACAGCCATTCCAACGTCATCAAGCTCCCTAGGTGCCAAGAAGTGTGGGTTGAATTGTGTCTTCCAATAAGACATTGCAGTCCCGAACCCTGGTACTTACCAACGTGACCTCATTGGGCAATAGGGTCTTTATAGAAGTAATTAAAATGAGCTCATACTACATTAGAGTGGGCCCTAAATCTGATGGCTTGGCTAGAAATTTGGACTCAAAAACCTCAAGGAGATGGCTGTGTGGTGATGAAGGAGGAGACTGGAGCAACCTGTCTATAAGCTAAGGAGCTCCGAGAATTGCTGGCAGCCACCAGGAGCTGGAAGAGACAGGGAAGGATCCCACCCTAGACCCCTCATAGAAAGCCTGTCCAGGAAATTCATTTTTATAAAAGGAAAACAAACTAAGGTTGAGTTAGGACCTCATCACTCATGTTATTAGAAAGCAAACTCCAAGTGGGAACACCTTGATTTCAGACCTCTGACCTCCATGACTGAGAGTAAAGCCCCTTAGTTTGTGCAATAGTCACGTATTACTTAGTGATGGGGACACGTGGTATTATTTTGGGGACAGAGATAAGAAACATCAATATATTTTGTTGTTGTGTGAATGTCACAGCATGTTCGAAGACAGACCAAGGTGGTTATAACATCACTAGGCAATACAATCATGGGGCCACCAACGTTTAAGTGTTCTGTGTTGACAGACGCATTGTCATGGGGCATAGGACGTGCTTTGTTGCAACCACTATGGAAAATCAACACAGCCCCAAAGATGAAAGCACCATCCCTGCCCATAGGAGCTTAGAATTTAGTACCAAGCATGGCTTAGAATTTAGTACCATTCCAGCCCAGGATGGAATGGCACATGGGGGGACCTCCGATGAGCTCCTTGCAGCCCAATGGGTCTCGCCAAGCATGCCCCGCCCTTGCATGTGAAACTGAGGTCACTGAAGGTCTGCTGATACCTTCTGCAGGGTCTCTAGTGTCCATGGGTCAATTTTCCTGATGTAGTTCGTCTCTGTGGTTGCGTAGAAGTCGTCTCCACACTTCATGATGTTGATCAGGCAGTTGTCAGTGAAGTCAGGGATGGTGTGGGACAAGTAGGAGAATGCTCTGGGGAAAGAAGCGTATCAGCAGGGTCACTGGCTCTGCCCACCCAGCCAGAAAGTTCTGCCCTGAGGATCCTAGTTTTCTTATCACTTTAATGCTTAATTTCAACTTCAGGAGAAAAAGTACTGGGTCTCAATGGGTTCTTAAGGAATCTCGAGGACTCAGATATCTGGTTCCCCAAAGACAATACCACAATGAACTGGGCAAAAAGGGAGTTCCTAGGTCACCCACTGATCCCTACTGAGCTCTCAAAAATCCACAGGTCTCTTGTGCCAGAGCCAGCAAGAGCTGGCAGGTTGTTTCCAAGTGCTTGGAGCAGCTCTACAGAAATCGCACACATGCCATAATGGCTGTCAAAGCAGTGAATTCCTGCTTTGTCCACACTGGTTTTCTCAAATTTGGCTAGGAAATTAGTTTTTTAAAAAGGAATACAAATGAGTGTTGAGTTAGGAACTCATTATTCATTTTTATCAGAAGGCAAACTCCAAGAGGGAAGGAAGGAGACCCAGAGGGGTACATTGGAGCAACTGGCAATCCTAGATCCAGGTCGTGCACCCCTGCTGACAAGGGGTGGCAGGAGAGGCTGCTCCGCAGCTGTGGTCTTAACCCTTGCCACTCCTTTCTGGCTGGCTCCTTCCAGGCTCCGCCCCATTTAAAGGTGTGAGCACAGCACTTCCCTCTGCAGACAGCCGATGCCATTTCCGGAGAAGCAAAAGCAATCTTGCATCTCTGGACCAGTGTAGCCCCAGCCTTTTCATGACCCCTCTTTGTCTGAAGAGTATCAGAGAGGAGATACCGACAGCTGGCCTGCTTCCCTGGCCAAGAGTTTAAAAGTTGAAACTGTGATACCTACATATGCATCAGAACCTGATGATCTGAAAAATCTCCCCCACTTTGTGTCCACCTGCCAGTCTCCTCTCTCCTTTAAGCATCCTTTCAGACTTGACACTTGTGCAAGCAAAAACTAATCTAGATTTCCTCTGCCTTTGTACACAAAATGAAGCACTTATCAATATGTCTTGGAAATGTTCCCATATAGAGTGTCCTCCTTCCTCTTTACTTCAACATGGTGCTTTCTTGTACAGTTTTACTGTTATTGATTTAACCGCTCCTCTGTTGATGAGCACTGGGGTTGTTTTCAGTTTCTTGTTATAACAAATGACGTAGCTGTGAATAACCTTGTTTGTACATTTGTCACTTCAGACACGAGCAAGTGTATCCCTTGACCAGAGGGAATGTGCATTTGTAACCTTGACAGATGGTTCCTAACTGCTCTTTCCCCAGTCACACGGGAGAGTACCTAACAATTTGTCAAATGCTCTCTGCCTTTCTTGCTACCAGTGATCAAGAATTACCAGCAACTCTGGTCAAAAGGCCAGCCCCGTGGAGTTTTTATCCACCCTAAAGAAAACCATCAGAGGGGAAGTACTGGTTGTTTGGACCATGCAGGGCGTCAAAGAGCATGAAATTCAGTCAGATTCTAAATGGGCAGTTACTTGGAAAAGATGTTTTTGCAGGGGTCCGGGTAGGCCATTGTTCCAAACTCCGACACCACGATCCTGTTGGCCTCGATATTGGCGTTGTAGGTGTCACTTCTCAGGTATTTGCTCCTGTAATGGACCTCACCTGAAAGAGAAGAACCAGATTAGTCCCTGGTTGGCATGTATAGGGCTTTACGATCTCTGTCCTCTATTCTGGGGGCTTTATGAAGGAAGAGGGAGGTCAGCTCACCAAGATGGTTTCCTTTCATGCAGGTGCCGGCATCATCAGCACCCAGGGTCCAGTTTCACACACAATCTGCCCACTTGAGACTCACAACAGTGAGACATGCTCAGTCTGTCTGTCTTAGCTCCATTTCCATATGAGGGAGCTGAGCTCAGAGACATGCCATTGCCTGGCCCAGCACTGTCTGGCTGTGTACCATTCCTTCCGCCATGTTGGTGTACCCCCAGAGGTGGCACAGGCTTGGAGGACTGGCCTAAAGGCTGCATTTCCCTGGGGCCCCTCTCATTGTTGGGAGTCCTGCCTTTAGAAGGCTGGGTGGACAACTGCAGCCTCCTGGAGTAACACTGACATCTACCAGGGGCCACCTAACCTTCTGCTCTGTATATGGAGGGTTGGAGCTTGCTGACTGGGTGACCCATCCAGATCCTAGAGCAGCTCTATCTCACTGCACAAAAGCAGGGAGCAGGTCCCTTCATCAGGACCAACATGAAAACAGCTACTGTAACAACTTGTCACAAAATTTATGACCTAAAACAACAAACACCAGCTTACAACTCTGAGAGATATGGTCTGAAATGGGTCTTTCAGAGCTAACTCACGGTGTCCATGGGGCTAATTCCTTCCTGGGCTCTGAAGGAAAAATCTGCCCCTTGCTTGTTCTAGTTTCCAGAGCTGCCTGCATTCCTTGGCTTATGGCCACTTTATTCCAACACCTTTCTATCATCTTTGACTCTGATCCTCCTGTTTTACTTTTTTTTGGTACATGGTATTGAACTCAGGGGTGCTTCACCACTGAGCCACATCTCCAACCCTTTTCTGGATTTTATTTAGAGACAGGGTCTCACTGAGTTGCTTAGGGCCTTGCTAAATTGCTAAGGCTGGCTTTGAACTCATGATCCTCCTGCCTCAGCCTCTCAAGCTGCTGGGATTACAGGAATGTTCCATCATGCCCAGCCCTGCCTTCCTTTATAAGGACCCTGTGATTATGTTAGGCCACGTAGATAACCCGGGGAAACCTCCCATCCAAGATCCTTAACCTAAGTACATCTGCAAAGTCTTTTGCCATGTAGAGAAACAGGAAATATTCTCAGGTTCCTTTTGGGGAGAAAGGAGGGGAGAGAGAGCTCAAATCCAGCTGGGAATGCTCAGGAGAGGCATCATTACACTAGAGAGTCTATCTCATGCTAGTCAGAATGGCAATTATCAAGAATATAAGCAATATTAAATGTTGGTGAGGATGTGGGGGAAAAGGAACACTCATCCATTATTGGTGGGGCTGCAAATCGGTTGCAACCACTCTGGAAAGCAGTATGGAGATTCCTTAGAAAACTTGGAATGGAACCACCATTTGACCCAGCTATACCACTCCTCGTCTATACCAAAGGACTTAAAATCAGCATATTATAGTAACACAGCCACATCAATGTTCAGAGCAGCTCAGTTCATAATAGCTAAATTGTGGAAGCAACCTAGATACTCTTCAATAGATAAATGGATAAAGAAAGTGTGGTATATATACACAATGGAATATTACTCAGCATTAAAAGAGAATAAAACTATGGCATTTGCAGGTCAATGGATGGAGTTGGAGAATATCATGCTAAGTGAAGTAAGCCAATCCTCCAAAACCAAAGGCTGAATGTTCTCTCTGATAAGTGGATGCTGATCCATAATGGGGGAGAACATGGGAAAAATGGAGGAATTGTGATTGGTCAACGGGGAGGGAGGGTGGGGAGGGGATATGGGGGCAGGAAAGATGGTGGAATGAGATGGACATCATTATCCTAGGTACATGTATGACTGCACATATGGTGTGATGCTACATTGTGTACAATCAGAGAAATAAAAAGTTGTGCTGCAACTGTGTACATGAATCAAAATGCCTTCTGCTGTCATATATACCTAATTAAAATAAATTAAAAAATTCCTTACCAAAGGAAGTACAAAAGGCTTGGGTATTCATAACCCTGCAGACCTATTTCTCAGCTCTTAAAATTGAGGCACAGAAAAGTTAAGTACACTGCCTTAAGCCACATATCTAGTGAGCACTCATGGATTTGAAGCCCCATAACAGGCATTGAAAACTGACTCTCCTAACCAAGATCCTACCACAGCAGCACAACAGGTTTGACTGTATTGCCTGATCCTTGATGCTAAAAATACCTGCAGAAATGTGTCTCCATGACTGAACAGCTTGATGACATTGCACAAGCTGAGCATACCCACATAGCTATACCCTGGCCAGGAAGAGGACAGAAGCAGTGCCCTAGAAGCCTCCCGGGAGCCATTCAGTCACTACCCCCACCCCAGGGTAACAACTCCCTGGACTTGCAACAGCATCCTTGGTTTCCCCTTCAGCATGTGTTCTTGACCATCCCCCAGGACTGAGTGTTCAGTGGTAACGCCTCCCACTGTGCACTGGAGGGAGGTAATGACAATAATAGTGACGGACTCTGCACTAGTGACACGACCCATAATAAAACTGGAGGAGACTATGGAAGACTGTCCAATTCCTTCTCTGGTCTAACTGGAGTTTCTTGACCAGGAGGCTAACTGTGTGTCCTCTATCCTTTTGTCAAACATCCTTTTGGAGGTGGCCACTGTGTAAGCAAGTGTCACTGGGCTGTTTTAGTTGTGGGGTGGACTTCAGAGACCGTGGGAAAACCTGGGGAGGAACAGTTGGGATCCTGGGCTCTGGGGCTGAGAGGGCTGTCCCAACACCTCAGGGGACCAGGAGTGGGGATTCAGTAAGTGGGAACAGCCAAAGTCCCCACCCTGAAAGAGACTCAGCTGCCCATATGCTAGGAATCCACACCCCACCATAAACCAGCCACACACCTGGCCTTGGTCAGAAGCAAGCCTCGGTCTTCTCCATGCTGACATGAGGATCATGATATTTCTTATACATGCAGAATCTAAGGCCTGTACAGCACATAGTAGGTTCTCAAAAAAGGTGACAGTACCAAGATGCTATAGACAGAGTAGTCAAGGCTTTCATTCTGGGGCTTGTCCCCATCCAAGCTGGCTGACTGTGGGCAGGTACTGTCACTGAGCGTATTTCCTTCAGTGAAAGCTGGGGATTCCAGAGTTCTCTGTGCCTCGTTGGTTGTTTACATGAAGTAAGATGAGCAAAGGTCTCTGGCTCCAAGACACACTGTGTGAGTCGAGGGCTACTGAAACTCTGGCAAGGTCCGGGAGATCCTGGAGGTGGGAGGCCACACCCTCGTCCCCAGCTGTGTACTGCCTAGAAGCAGACCTGCGTTAGGCCAGCCTGGCCTGTGCTGGCCACTCTCTGCAGAGTGCACCACCCCTAGTGCATTGGCTGAGGCTCTTTGGGACCCATGGATGCTTGGCCCACAAAACTGGATTCTTTTCACTTGAAATGTAAACTCCCAGTCCAGGCCACCCATGTCCTATAAACATCCAGCAGCAGAGCGGGGAGCACGGGGGGCCAGGGGGCACAATGTGTCTCTGGAACTGCTCAAGGCTGACCCTGTACTTCGGGGCTGAGAATAAAGAAGGGGCCTCTGTGTGTCCCCACCCCCTGCTCTGGGGAGCATCCAATTAGCCACATTCCTTCCGTAGGACGCAGTAAGCACACATGTCCTGCCTGGGATCTTTAGCAGCTGGGTCACGCCTGATATTTTGGGGGGCAGAGGAGGCATATGCGTGTGTATGTGCACACACACACATACTCTTTCCATTATTCCAACCCTGGTGGGACAACTTTCCTTCTTGGATAATCAGTAACTGTCATTGCTAGAGGAGACCTGGAGTCACTCACCTCCTTAAATGTTTAGACACAAAGCCCTTTTTATTTTGAAGTGATTTTTAGACGTAGAGGAAGGAATGTTTTTTCACACCCTTCACGCCCCACCTCTGTCCCTTTTGTCCAGTTTTTGCTGGTTTTTATTTTATTTTATTTTTTGTGGTGCTGGGGATTGAACCCAGGGCCTTGTGCCTGAGAGGCAAGCACTCTACCAACTGAGCTGTATCCCCAGTCCTCTTTGTTGTTTTTTAAAGCATTCGCTTCTTCTGGTCTCTGCTGAAGGCCACAAGCCACTTTACGGCCTTTTCCCTCTCCAGTCTCAGAATCCTCTCCCAGTGTGTGGCTCCATATGGCACTTCTCTGCTGCAGGGAATCCCCCGGTGCTTCTAAACACTGGCAGAGGCTGTGCCCAGCTCATAGCACTTCTCATTAACCTGGTCCCAGGGGCCTGGAAAGCCTACTGTCTACCAAGAGGGGCTTGGGGTCTCTTGGACAACGTGTTAGGAACACCAATGCTCTGCCCTTACCCTTTGAGATCATGATTCACTCAAGCCCTGGGTGACACTGGCTCTCAGGATTTACATCCCAGGGTAGTCTGAGGAAGGAGGTATACAAAGGCCTTTTGAGAAATCCTGGCTCTGTGTTATCTGCACATCAGAGACCCCCCTGATCTCCCTGTGTGTGCTCTCTTCTGAACTAGGCATAGTAGTGAACTTAACCTACATTCCCACTGTGAGATCATGGGGAGCCACTGAGAGTTCTAGAGGAGAGGAGGGAGGAGGCTAGGCTGTGCCATGCCAATGCTGGCCATCTGGCAGCAGTGAGAGGGATGGGGAATGGGGGTGACTGGTGGAGTGGGATAGAGCAGAACTGTACAGTGGCTAGGACTTGAGATTTTGATTTTGGAAAGCATAGGGCTTGAACTTGACCTCTACCACCTTTTGCCATGTGCATTTGGGCCAGTGTTAGGTGCTTCCTCAACATCTCATGATGATTCTAATTGCTACAAATTCTAACCATCACAACGGCTGTCTAGGGGAGGACGATTTTCCCAACGAGGAAGCCGAGGCTCAGGGACCACAGTTCACCCATGCCGGAATGCAGGGGCTGAAGTCTCGCCATGCCTGGGCAGTTGGGCACAGACTTGCCTTCTCTGTGACATGCTAGAGTCTTATGCAACCAGCCAGGACTTCTTTAAGAACTTGTCTCATGAGAGCCACCAAAGTGACAAACCAGCTTGGTGGCCAATAGCCAAGGATTCACAGTGCATGTCTTAAGCCAGACACCTGTCATTGTCCTGGTAGGGTTCTGCTCAGAGGAATATTTGATTCAGTGCTCAAGCGGCCTGGCAGGTCCCTGCCTGTTGAGAAGGATGCTCAGCTTTGCTCTTCAGCAAAGCTTCATATTTTGATTTGATGCATATTTGAATCCAAAGATGCTTCATATTTTGATTTTATGTATATCTGAATCCAAAGCCTGCAATCTTCCATGTGCCCTGGCCCACCTTATTGAAAATGCATCTTATTTTGCAAGATGAACTGAGGGAGAACCCTGGACACCCTTCCAGAGAGTCTTGTGCTTGCTGTGGACAGAATAATGCCCCACCCCAACATGTTCACACCCTGGTCCCTGGAACCTGTACATCTGTTACCTGACATGGTGAAAGGGACTTTGTGGGTATAATTAAGTGAAAGATTCGGGGATGGGAGATGATCCTGGATTATCCAGGTGACCAGCGTCATCACAAGGGAGTTTGTGGCAGTGGAGAGAGGGCAAGGGATATGAGGTGGTGGCGGGCTACAAGATTCTGGGCTGCTGGCTTTGAAGAAAGCGATGGAGCCACGAGCCCAAAATGCAGGCAGCTTACAGAAGCTAGAGAAGGAAAGAAAATGGATTCTGCTCTAGGGTCTCCAGAAGAAACGCAACCCTGTCAACACCTTGATTTTAGCCAGGTGAGACCCACTTCCAACTTCTGACCTCTGTAACTGAAAGAGAATAAACCCGTGTCTCAGGCCAAGAACGCAGCGGTGGCAGCTGCGGCACTCTCACCGTCTCTGATGGTGAAGCTGTGGAGTAAGGCCAAGCCGTCAAACCAGTGGTTGTATCTGCTCTCCCCCACCGTGTGCATGCCAGGCCCGTTGCGAAGCAGGGTCCCCTGAAGCCATGCTGGAATCCTGCCTGTTGAAGAAAGAATGTGGAGTTGCCAGGGAGAGGAAGGGGGATTGGGCAGCCCCACCCCGATCATTGCACCTACTTGTTTATTCCACAGATACTTCTAGAAAGTGCCTGGTATTTTGCTAGCACTGAAGTTACCAAGATAAATAGACATGGTCCCTGCCTTCAAGTTGCTCATTGTCCGTGGAGGAGACAGAAGAGGAGACACACAACATATTCTATGACACAGGCAAGACTTTAGGCCCAGCAAAGTGTGCTGCATGGAGCAGAACCTCCCCTGGGGGGTCGAGAGCAGGAATGAGCAAGGGCTTCCTGGAGGAGGCAACCTGGCAGTCTTGAGGGAGAGTGTTTGCCTCACAAAGGCACAAGAAAGAACATCCTAGAGCTGTGCCATCCAACATGGCAGACGGCAACCCCATGTGGTGATTAAGCATGTAAGTGTGGCCAGTGAGAACTGAGATGTGCTGTAAGGGTAAAACACACACTGGATATCAAAAACAGTGTGAAAAAATAAAATATCTCACTTGCTATTTTTGCATATGATTTCATATGGAACTGATAATATTTTGGATATGTGTTAAATACACTATCGAAATTAATTTCACTAGTTTCCTTTTACTTTTTTGAATGTGTCTACTAGAAAATTTAAAAGTACCAGCATGGCATGCACCATATTCTGTTGGACAGTGAGCACTGCTCTAAGATAGGGTGCTGCGGCAGACACGACCAGTCCCCCACACAGGTCCCTTTGCATTCCTATCTTCCTAAGGGCTGCTTTCTGTTTTAATGAACATGGCCTCCTGGGCAGGGGCCCAGCCTCAGCATGGCCTCCCGGGCAGGGATCCCCCACAGGCACAAACTTGGGTTGTCCATCACCAGCAGTGTCCAGCTGATTGGGCTCCACCCAGGGCTCCAGGTCTGCACAAAGAAACAGAAGCCCTGTTTTCTGCTGGCTGCCTGGCCTCGGACAACTCACTGTCCTCTCCCATCTCAGTTTCCCCATCTGTGAAGAAGCGGGGCTTGAGCTAGAGCACGGTCCTTCCACTAGAAGCACCAGGGGGCTTGTGAAGATGCAGACGCTGGCTCCACCCCACACCATCTGGTCCAGTTGGGCTGGGGGAGCCCAAGATTCTGTGCTGCTGCCAAATGTCCAGGAGGTGGTGACCACACAGGTCTCACAACCCTGCTTTGGAAACTGCTGCTCTAGAGGATCTTTGGAGTCTGTTCAGCACCTCAGGTTCTAAGATTCTTATTTTCTAAAATTTTCAAGGATTCCATGCAGTCATGGGTCATGAGTTGTAAGGGGAGGTACAGTGACATGGCAAGAAGTTCTGGATCCTAGCATACAAAGGTTAGGGTCACAGGCTCTCTTCTTATATACAAAAAATTAATAGTAAATATTTATTTGTGTATTAAAATTTTATATTTTTTCAAATATAATATTATGTTTATTTATATTTCTCAAATATAAAATATATATGTCTTATAAAAACTTCAGGGAAATAGACCCAAATGTCTCCTTCTATGTTCTAATTTGCACTTACAAATTATACATATAATTTAATACTTACACACACAGAATAGCATCATATATTGAATATTATCTTTGTACTCATGAAAAATAGGCATAAAAGCAGATTTTTTTCTTTTGAAAGACTTCTAAGGCAATTCTGCAGTCGGAAAAAAATCCCAGTGGACTTTCCATCCACGATCCATCTGTGGGGAGACAGAAGCGCCAGGTGCCCAGGCTGCCCCAGCAGCTGTTTTCTGAACTGAGGGACTGCTATTACAGGGACCTGAGAGCTCAGAACCAGCAACAGCCCTTCAGAGTCTAGATAGGATGGTCCCAGGAAAGAGGCAACCCACAAGAGGAGAGAGCAAGAGAAATGGCAGAGGGAAAAAATGAGACTCAAATCCGGCTAAGAGTGGTTCTCGACAGGGCCTCTCTACGTCTCTTATTGGATCTGCAGGTGTCCACAGGCTGAAGCCACACCTGTGGGCACCTGAGAGCAGCTCATGTCAGGCTGCAATGCCCTCCACGTGGGCGTGTGCATGGGCAGGAGCTCGCACATGCTTATTTGCTTTATAAAATCAGTTTAGGAAGCACACATTGCAAAACAGTATGCATTCAGAATAGCTGCATTTGCAGCCTGATGCCCTTGCACATGTGGAACCGGAGCATTCCCAACACCTCTCTCCTGGAAATAGTGAGAAGGACTCTCTCTATCCCTGGAAATGGACTTAAAATGTGTAAAAGCACACCCAGATCATCAGAGAGAATATGTCTGGATTATGGGTCATTTTGCCCCTACAGAATATCTCCCAGACTTTCCAAAACTAATTCACATTAAAGAAAACAGATGTCCGCCTAAGCAGAGTCAGCAGATGGTACAAAATGCTCACCTGTCACTTTGGCCTTCAAGGGCTCCAGCTGTTCCTTCTTATTCTTTCCAAATATCAAATCCATCCTGCTGGCTGCAGAGCGAGGATGGATTCACAGGGAACGGGTTTCTGTGCGCTCAGGAGCTGCTGCTCCTCCTCCCGCTTTGCCTTCAGGCCTTCCCTCCCCGCCGGTCTTTACATCAGGGTGGGTCCTGAAGCCACCCTCTCTCCCGCTTGTCTCCCTCTGAAGGCCTGGTGTCTGCTCTCACAGGGGAAGCTGCCGTGCTGGAGTTATTTATAAGATGTTCGGTCAAAGGTCAATTCCCAAGCCATGTGCCATGGCTAATCTTTAATCCTGTTAGTGTGTCCCCCACTCTCCCTCTCCCCTTTCACTTCTGGCTTATCCGAGGAAAGCTCCTTTCTGAATGGTGGAGAGAAAGCAGGGCATTCTGCTTAGTTAGTTGGCTGAAGTAATCTATCCCGAGTGCTGGAGGTGTTTATGATCAGAACAGAAAGGGACTGTGAGGACCAGCAAAGGCGCCTGAGGACACTGGTCACACGCACGCCTGCTGCCCCGTGGGAAGAGCCTTCTGCAGAGTTGGGGAAGGGAGTTTTGGGCTTTGTTTTTAATAAGGAGCCCTGATCTCCCCCAGTACAAATCATACCTAAAGAGCAGCTTAATTCATTATTTTCTTTTTGGAAGAAGGAAAGATAAAAACGTGTCACATACCTGTTAAAACATAAGGCCAGGGAACCAGAGACTTCTCAGGAACTGAAGAATAGTTAAAAAACCAGCTTCCTGGCCCATCAGGAGGGCAAAGAGTGACCGCATCCGACTCTAGAGTTTCCCAATACTCACGTATCTTGACGTGACGCCATTGCCATGTATCCACATTGAAGTTTCTGTGAGCATCAGGTGAAGAGAATGAACTCGCATTGCTCGGGAACAGCCATTCCCTATGGGTAGAGAGAAAAAGGCTGTGGTGTACCTGATTTAATCATCGCACAGCGTGTACACGTGTTGAGACATCCCATGGAACCCCGTTCACGTGCAATTTTTATGTTTGATATATCAGTTAAAAATGCATTTAATTAAAATAAAATTGTTTGAAGAGAAAGAAAAAGGCTCAGTGCTGGCCTTGATGCAGCTGAGAATGGGCTGAGACTTGAATGTCCCCGCACGCTGTACCTCCTGCCCGGCTGCACATTCCAATCACCGGTGAGAGGTTGAAAGTGCCCAGGCTGGGCCTGGCTCAGACCCCCAGGACAGACCCCCTGACTCAGAATCTCTGAAGGTGGAGTCAACTACCAGCGTTGTCAAAACTGTCTCCCGATGATCCTAACATGCGCAGCAGGCATGGCGGAGCCCTGATCCAGGGAAAGAGGCCGCATGTTCGAGCTAGTGGTATATTTGAATTCCAGTCCATCCCTATTCTGTGTGTCCGCGTCATGTCTTCCTCTTTGAGTCTCCTTTTCCTTAACTGTGAATCGGGGTGTGATGACCAGTCTCGAGGCCACTGTAAATCAAGGGTCTAGCTAAAGACCCTGCCCCAGAGAGCTGTCAATCCATGTCATTGCCCTTTTCTCCCATTCTCTTAGAAGACCCTTCCCTTTACCCATGTGTCCAGTAAGCTGAATCATATCCTGCCAGTTTATTCCACAGTTGGGTCTAAACACGGGCATCCTCATCAGGGCTTTTGCTCCTAGCTTGTTAGAGCTGCATCTTGTGTGAATGTCTGGCATACCCTGAGGGCCGGGCTGGGCTGGGGTGATACTGCCATGAGTGGGAGAAAGCCCCGGGCTTGGAGATCAGAAGGCCTGGGTTTGCATCTCAGCCTGAGATCTAATAACTGCAATAACTGTCACATTACCCTTGGGAGCCTTGCTTTACCCTGCAAAACTGGGGTGGAAATGCCCTTGTCACAGGGCTGGTAAGGAGGACACCAGCGAAGTTAAATAGGTGAAAACATGACCATGTTTTTCTTCCTTGGCCCTCTTTGTAAATTCAGAAAAGCCATAGCCTCTGTCCACAGAGCACTGTGAGTCAAGTTCCTTGCAGAACCCTTACCTGCACAGCCCACTCTGGCCTTCTGCTGACCCATGAGATGAATCCTCTTGGCACTGTTCTAGAAATGAGAGAACACAGAGAAACCAAACGTTTGCCCCAAGTCACAGCAACAAAGATACTGAATTAGAAAGCAAAGCTGGTAGCCTGGCTTCAAAGTACACACCGATGATTCCACACAGCTCTGAGGCATGAGGGATATTGGCTGGATTTTTACTGAATGAAGTAATGGACAGATTCATTGATGGGGGATAGACCCCAAGAAGACAGTCTTGGGTTGATATTATTGCATCATTTATGATATCAATGATAAGCTCTCTTATTTAGGCCCCAACCATAACCTAGGGATAATACATGGTTAGATAAAGCTATTTTTTTAAATAGTGGTGATAATAAGTTGATCATAATGACTGATATCCGTATAAGTTTGCTCCATCTGTCATAATAAAGTACCACAGACCGAGTGACTTAAATTATAAGAATTTATCTTCTTACATTTCTGGAGGCTCAAAGACCAAGATTGAGGTGTGGACAGGATGGTTTCCCCTCGGCACCTCCCCTCAGCCCTGTGTCCTCACATGATCTTTCCTTTTGTGCATTGCCTGGTTTCTCTCTGTGTGTCCAAGTTTTCTCTTCTCATGAGGACAGCAGTCAGACTGGGTTAGGGCCCACCCTAATGACCTCATTTCAACACAATCTCCCTTTGAAAAATCCATTTCTAAATGGTCACATGTTGAGGTCCTGTAGGTCAGGGGCTTCCCTGAATAAACTTGGTCTGGGAACAAAGGTTGGTGTATAATAATGTCATTAAGAATCAACAATTAAGGGAAGATACTTTGACTGCAGGTAACAGGACATCTGCTGAAACCCCAGAGATGTGCATTTACCTCAGTCACGTAGCTATCTGGAGCTTGACATCCTGGGTCCCTTGGAAGCTCATCTGGGTCATTCTCTGGTCAGTGCCTGTTCCCAACTTCCTCATGGCCATCCTCCAAGGGTTGGCTTCTCATTTTTAGGTTGTTCAGGTTTGGTTACAAATGATTGTCTCTGCTCCAGGAACTGGGTCCTCACAAGTGGTGTGCAAAAAGCTGGGAGGCAAGGTGGGGACAAAGGAGGCCTTTTTTCCCCCCTGACATTTCTCATTTTATGCTGGAGGACAATCTTTCCCAGAGCGCCTTGAGCAGGTTTTCTCTTACATCCCATTGGCTGAACTTTATCAGGTGACCATCCCTGGGCCAATCCCTGGCAAAGAGAAACAGAACAGTCTTAATTTCCTTAAGCTCATTGATAGTCTCTTCTGGGGTGGCAGGTTGTCACTCAAATCTGGTTTTTATGAGCAAAGAAACAGAAGGGATGGCTTGGGATAGGCGACTACAATGTCAGCTGGAGGCAGAATATCACTCATCCTCACATCCATTCATTCAAAAATTTATCGAATACCTACTATCGGTTGGAAACAGAGTGGGGAATAAACCAGGAAAAAAAAATTCTGTGCCTTCCTGGAACTGACACCTGCGGTGTGCCAAGTTCTGGGAATGTAGAGGTGACTGACAGACCGACCTCTTAGACCCACCCCCACGATGATCTTTTTGTTTGGGGTCCAGGTTGGGTGCACTTTCCCAAAGGGGCTGGGTGCCCTGTGGAGGTTCTCCTGATGCCTTTGTGCCAGACGTCTGTCCTCCCTCTTTCTAATCAGAGCAACCAGAAGCAGCCACTGCTCTCTTCCCAAGGAGCCCTGGCCCCACAGCTCTGCCCCTGTGTTCTGCATCTTTGCTGATTTGGGGAGAGTTGGATGAGGGATATGTTCCCGGGGAGAGCAGTCTCCTGACCTGTTCCTCCCCCGCCTCTGATAACCCTCTTTGCTGCATGCCTGACATGCGCCATGGGATGTGCCTTGTGTTCTATTGGCGGAGTCTCATTTCAGCCCTCCATGGCCCTACAGGGCAACATTAGAAATCTTACTTTTATAGCCTCACAGTCGTGACGCAACTTGATCGCACTGAGTGCATCTCCCTCCCCACTACACAAAAGTGCTTCCCACCTTTCAGAGTGGCTGGTTGGGGCAGATGAGCAGATAAAGGAGCAAGAGCAAGGGGCCACTGTTTCTGTAATGCAATTGCTTCCTTAAAAGGGGCCTGAAAACTGGCCAGTGTGCAAGAGGCTGGGGCAACGGGACGGAGAAGGAAATGGCACATCTTACTCAAGAGTCCTGGTTACTCAGTGCTGAGTAACAAATCTCCCCCAAACGTGCTGGCTTAAAACAACCACCGTGTTTATTCTCTCACACTTCTGTGGGTTGGCTGGCATGTCTGGGCAGCTCTTCTGCTTTTAGGGCTTGCGGTCCTCACACAGCTGCTGGTGATTGACTGGGAGGTAGGTGGGGGCCTAGGCCTCTCTCTCTCTCCCTGTAGCCTTGGGATCTGTCCTTGCCCCCTCATGGGTCTCTCCAGCAGGAGTAAAGGCTCCAAAAGTGGGCTTCTAAAGAGAGAGGAGCATAAGCATCCAGTCTCCATCAAGGCCAAACCTAGAACTGGCACAGATTCCCCTCCACGGCTTCCTATCATTTGGCACCAGTCACTGGGCCAGCCAGGAGCCAGTGGGGAGGGTCTGCTCATGGGCAGGAATATGGGTTCTGACCAGGCAGGTCCTCTGGGCTACCTCTGGGGACTAGCTGCCCCACAGACCCTTAGCATTTGAGCCTCAGCCTTCCACTTACTTACTTGCTAAATTTCTGAGCCACTCAAATCTCAGACCCTCAGTTTTCTGATCTCTAAAATGGGAATTATAACACCTGTTTCACTGGCAGACTGCAAAGCTTAAACAGTGTGAACTCTGTAATTGTGTCTGTCATAGATGCTTTAAATATAGTAGGAGTTCATGTCATATTCCTTTCCCCTCTTTTCTTGGAAAAGGGAAAAACTATATATATAAAATGATTGAATATACTAATTTTTTAAGTAGTTACAATGCACTTAATAGGGCCTGACACTGGAAGGAAACTAGATACCGATGACCTAGTCGTGTATTTTAAGTTTCTTTAGCTGGCTGTTACCCAGGGAGCAGTGACCAGCAGCCAAACTTGCTGCTCTGGGGGATGGCACAGGTAGGAAG